GTCATCCGTTGGAGAGGCTCATCCCCTTTGCAAAAGGATCCAACGCGAACAGCCTTGACGAAGAGGGAGCCGACCCCCAAACCCCTCTACCCTAAACGGTGCAAGCTGACTTCCAGATATGTTTTCTTACTTGTGGGTTTGGGAGTATCTTTTTTGGTCCCGCTCCCCTTCTCTATCCTCTCCTTTGCCCCCTCCGCTGCTACGCCAATAAGTCCACTTAGTAACAGGCGTTTTTGTAACTTAATTGTGGCTTTTGTTTTTATGAAAAAGAAGACTGTCAACAACAACTAACATTACCAATACAATTACTATTATTGTGGCAGAATACGGGGAAGACAATAGCTCGTGATCATGTCGACTAAGTTGTCTGCTGTACAGGCGCTCCGTCGTGCATCCCGACGTTCCCGACCGCCTCGAACCTGGATGCTTTTGTTGTTGCGGTTTTGCTGTGGGATCCGGTGATGCATCCCCTGGTGGGCAAAGTAGACCCAGAAAAGGCTTAAGCTTGTTTGGGAGGTTGGGGGAGGGCAGGCAGTAGTCACTTGAAGATTCATGTGGACACTAACAATGGGCAGAATTGCAGTTATCATATGGCCTCTAGGGGTTGTCAACCTACTGACTCTATGTCCAGCTGCCCCTCCAAGTAAAGGGGTCTAGTTGAGGATCGCATACATAAAAGTATGGAACTGTCTAGAACCCTAAGGGTTTAAGGACCCAAATAATATTTGGGTCCTTGGACCCTTAGGGGAAGGCTCTGCCAGAGAATTGGACACAATTTGGGATGCCACGTTCGGGACATCGGAGTCGCCCATCTTGGGGGTACTTGATATATTTCCTCACGCTATGCTATTTAGTGGTGTGTATTAATTTAATTGCGGCCCCATATTTATCTCAACTCATTTGGGAACAATCCAGCGAACCAGCATTCTACAACATTGTATGCAAGGTTGCCCAAGGTATGTGTGTTTGATGCAATCAAGGGCTTCAGCTAGATCACCCTAAAACGTCCTGACACATTTGGTGAAAGTGCTGCCGCTGATGCCTCTGCCATGTGTCATGCATTGGACAACTTGGGTGGTCTTAAAAAGTTGCGCGCTTCCAGTGATATATACGTATACACCTACACACATACATATACATTTTCGTGTATGTATAGGTGTGTATGTATATACATGTATAGATATATTGTGTCGATAATTTCTGCATGGTTGTTACGGCCCACTAGTTAAACTGCTGAAAGCGCGAGCCCTCAGGGCAGGTGTAGGTTTCTCACACCCACAACCGAAGCCTGAACAACAGGACAAGCTCTACTTACCTTTCCCCAGGGATCCAAATAGTCCAATGTAGGTAATAGTTACAGACTTCTGGGCCGAATGTAGGTATTGTTTGTATACTTGGACCCTTAGGGCTTGGTTAGCTAGGAATGAAGGAACGGATCGTTACAGCAGTCCCTATATAACCTGTTATAGTGGTTTCCATTCTTTCCATTCCCTCATTCCCAGCATAGCGAGGGTAAGTCTAGCGACCTCACCCGTCTTCATCCCAAATCGCAAGGCACATCCCCAACCAGCCGTAGTGCAGGCGTTGAAGTTTTGCGTCACTTCTGCCAGCTGACATTTTTGGGTGTATAGCAATTCGCGGCGTGCATTGCATTTTATTGATAGTGAGCTTTTTGACATCATCCTTGCAGCACATGTCGGCGACCCTTATCGTTTCCTGATTAGTCGGCATTCCCATGTTTTGAGAAAATCCCGGATGTGTAGCAGATTACATGAGAATACACTTGTCCCCAGTATTGAGTCACAGTATTCGAAGAAGAATATAGCTAGCCTTGCTTGGCTCCACCACTCAGGTGAGCCCCTGCGCGCTTGTTTTTCTTAACTACACGTTCGGCGTAGGCAGTTTGTCACGCAAGTGTGACACTCAGGGTCAGATCCAAGATGCAAGAAAGGTACAGCAAAAAACAAAGCATAGGATTCGCCACAAGTTACAAAACCCTTTGTGCATATATATATATATATACCGAGCTTACTTTAGGTAGGTACTTCAAAAACTTTTGCGAGGTTGCGGAGAGCAGAAGCTGGCAGCGATGCAGGCTAGGCATTCGGTGATAAGGGTTTGGGTATCAGGGTTTCCATTATGGGCTATTAGACCTTGAAATTCCCTATTAGGACCCTATTAAGGGTAGATTAAAGTACCCTTAAGGTTTAATAGCCCATAGTGGTTGGGGATGAAGGCTTACCCATGCCCTTCAATGTCGTTCGGGCTTTGATTTTGGGCTGAGGAAAAGGCAGCGTTGCTGTTAAGCGTCGTGTTGGGATGTAATCATAGTGTAAGAGTCACGATCCAGGCCTGAAGGCTGCAAAGTGTATAATCATCACATACCTATTTCTGGGCACTATTTAGGAGCGACCCTTGAGGGGGACCCCTGTAGGTTACTGGGGGCACCCCTAGTGTTATAAAACCATATACTTACTTAGCCAACAGAAGAACTTTAGACCTTTTTGGGCTTCCTTTTTGGGTCTCTATAATACAACTTAAACTTTTTGAGCCCTGGTTATGGGGGCGGGAAGAGAGTATAACCCTAATGGTCCAAGTACCTAATAATCGTATACTTACCCAAAACCTGTAGTATAATCATTATTACCCAAAACACAAGTACCTAATTATTTGGTACTTGGACCCTAAACCCTAAACCCTAAATATCCCTATATACCCCTATATATCCCCTTTAAAGGGACCTAATTATTGGGTACTTGGACCCTCTGGGTAAGTATAAGGCAATGGGATTTAGGGTCCTGGTAGGTGTCCCTCCTACGAGCCCCTGACTTCAAAGGGGAATATAGTAATATAGGGGGAGCATAGGGGATTATATAGGGATAATGGAAAAGATAATGGAAAGTACTATTTAGGGTTTAGGGAACATAGCGGATTATATAGGGATAATGGAAAAGATACTGGAAAGTACTATTTAGGGTTTAGGGAACATAGGGATTATATATGGATAATGGAAAGATAATGGAAAGTACTATTTAGGGTTTAGGGAACATAGGGATTATATAGGGATAATGGAAAAGATAATGGAATGTACTATTTAGGGTTTAAGGAACACAGGGATTATATAGGGGTAATGGAAAAGAAAATGGAAAACTACTGTGTAGGGTTTAGGGTTTAGGCAGATTCATCTGGGCACCGTGGATGCTTCCGGCTATGTCCCGAGCCACGCACCACTCTTTCCCCATTGCGGAAGCTCGAAAACTCATACAGGGCGTCTATTCCCTTATTCCCTACTAATTAAACCCCAAAAGGTCATTACGTTGAATTCCTGGTTTGTTTGGCTTTTCAGTATAAGGTGTCGACAGCAAACAAGAATATCCAACACGCACGCCACAGAGAGTTGCGAAAAAGCCCGGGACCCCAAACTTCCCCGCAAAAGAGCGAGGGATAGACATGGTTTAGGTTTAGGGTTTTAGGACTTAGGAATCCCGGGGCCCTGAACCCTGAACCCTATTTAGGGCTTAGGGTTCTAAAGGTCCTTCCTAACCGGACTGTCCGAGCTGGGGGGGGGTCTAGAAATCTACTCGCCCTTTCGAGAAAAACTTCCATTGGCAACACTAGAAACTAAACCTTAGGCCCTGAACCTTTTTCCCCTAAACTCTTGACCTTAAAAGCCCTGAACCCGACACCCTAAACCCTTAAGCCCTAAACCCTAAAATGTATTGAGGGCTACCTTAGATATAGATGCAGGTGCAACGTTGGCGGCTGGATTCGAGGCTACTCGCCCCGGGCGCCGCCACTGTGCTTGTTGTTAAAAAGGGGATCACTTGGAGGTTGCTGTGCAGGGGTTCTGAGGATGTAAAGGGTTCAGGTTTTTTGGTCAAGCGCTTAGGCTTTGAATACTGAAGAACCAGATGGACATGACATGGAACGTGGAGGGGCTATTAGGGCTTATAAACTTATAAGCCGTCAGCAACCCAAGTTGGGTTCGATTTCAAGCTTCAAGTCTTAGGCTTCAGGATTTTGGGGTTTAAGGTTTCAAAGTGTGGGGCTAAAGGCCCGGGCTTCAAGGTACATTGGATGCATAGCAGAAGAAATCAGAGGGTACGGATTGAAGACTCATGTGAGGAGCAGAACACATCATGTATGTTTGTACATCTGTGCTACGTGCGATCAGCGCAGTTGCCATTTTTGACAACGTTGCCTTGTGTTCCCTGCCCTAGACATGCGCGCTGCAAGCGGCGCAAGCAGGTCCAACCCGAGATGTTCCTGTTGCCCGTGGTAAGTTTCCCTTTGGTCACTTTTGTGCGGCTTGTCTGATTACAGTGTACCGAGCAATCAAACTTTCGGACCTCCGGAATGACGATCTTCCAGCCTGTGCAGGCGGGCAGCAAATGACGACACACCAAGTTGAGAGAGAGAGAGAGAGAGCTATAGTTCTGTAGCTCATGTGTTTCAATTTAGTTCAGAATTCTTGTCGACCTGCACGAATATTTGTTGCTACAACTTCTTCATTTCAACATGGTCTTGTCTCACGTCTGGCGCGATCAACTCTGAAACCTCAGTGCTCGTTGCAGTTTCATCATGGAGATGGTAGAATAATGAGAAGGCCGCAGCAATAGACCTGCAACTCGTAGACGACCTCCCAAGCAGCCTGCGACAAAGGCATGACAGCTTCATGCGCGTTCGGCAAACGGACAAGCCAGAAGAGCAAATTTGCAACACCCTAACCACAAACTCCACTATTATGATATAGTAGTTTCCATTTTCTTTTCCATTATCCCAATACAGCCCCCCTTGAGGGGGACTATAACCCTAAACCCCAAACCCTACATGTCCAATGCTGTTAGATGTCTTCCGTTGAGCCGCTGTGTCTGCCACGGCTAAGGGTTATATTGGGGTCATACTGTGTATAATACGGTATATTTTGATTGGGGTTATATTGGGGTTGTATAGGGATAATGGAAAAGAAAATGGAAGCTACTATAGTATAGCTAGCCCAGGTCGGAAGTGGGTGTACTTCATACGCCACGGTGAGGCTGTGAAAGCGGTTTGGGACAAGCGAGTGCATGGTGTGAGATGTAGGTGTAAGCCTAGACTTGTTAGGATTGTGGAAATCCGCCTAGGTTTTAGGGTTTGCGGGGGTGGGTGGAAAAGGCTTAAAGGTGTTTGGGGTCAATGGATGTTCGTACTTCAGAAGTTGCATTTCAGCTCGATGAGCTTCAGATAAGATGAAAGTGTTCAGGGCCCATAAGCACCTCGCAGAGTTTAAGCTTGGGGTTGCCTGTGATTCTTTTGCCTGCAAGCCAAAGAGCCAAATATAGTGCTGGCTGGGTGGAAACAGAACGCGTGGGTAGCAGGAAATAAGGACTTAGGAATGCCGAAGTCGCGCGCAGCAAATTAGAAAGCATCGTTGCTGGTTTTCCCACGCTGGAGACCCGCGCGGATAGGCCAGAAGTGGGTTTGAATAACAGGCCTGAGCTATCCAAACAGCTATCTGTCGTGTCAAGAACAAAACTCCCAAATCTACATACGGTCATGTTGGTGCTGTGCTACGCATGGGCCTGCAAGCAGGCTTTTTGTCATAGTCTCAGCAGCTCACTCACCCAACGAGTCCTAAGTACCCATATGGGGAATACTTACCCAGAATTATAAGAAAATTTTAAAGTACAGAACCATATTTTGAACCATATTAATACTTTGGACCCGTGCTGTAGGCCCTGGTCAACGCAGCCGGGCGGGTGTTCGCGAAGGCGGGACACGTCATGGGATCTGTCTCTCATGTGGCCGTGCTTCAGTCAAGGCATTACGAAAAGTAATTGCAAGAACCTAGACGCTGATACAACATGCTTGAACCTTCTCCAGGAGTTCTTGTTGTATTTGTGTTTCTGCTGTTTCTGCTGCTGCTGCTGCTGCTGCTGCTGCTGCTGCTGCTGCTGGTCTCCCACCTTGATCTTCCGCCGTAGATGCCTTACAGTAAGGAGCTGCATCGCAACCGTACGACTGTTGGGGAATTATGTCACGGAAAGTGTCAAGCTCTGTAGTCTGTTTTAACACTTCACAACCTTAGGCCTCGAGTGAGGTGTCCCTACATCAATGTTCATGTGGGGATTGTCCTAAATTACTGTCAATACGGGGTCCTATATTTGGGTTCCTATTATAATACGGGGCCCTATATAAGTTTTCCCCCATTTTGAGAACAGTAATTTAGGGAAACTTCCATGTTCTTTCAAGGATTGACCTAGACTTATTGCAGCTCCGCGGGAGCATTTGCCCATTCTTACAACATTGCTGGGGTGGTACTGTCCATGGATGGAATCCTGCGCCGGCCTAAGTAATCCCCACGAAGTACAGTAGTTTAGGGGCCCTAGGTGGTGCAAGACTTCTTCCATCAACTACCCTAGAGGCTCAACCTGAAACCCTAGACGTTAAGTTCGGGACCCTCGGCGCGCTCAGCATTTATCTCACCAATTTACCTCTCAGGTTCTGGGTTTTGGGTGTAGGGAACGCATGACCCCAAAAGGACCACCATTTGTGTGTTTCAAACCCTGCGAAGGCTGCTGACTTGTCTGTGAGCTTATAGCATGCTTAGTAGGGCTGACTTGTGCGCAGTAGGGAATGAGGGATTGGATGTGTGTAGAAATCGCCATGTGGTCCCCCATAAGGAAGTCGAGTCTCAGATAGCAACAAATCAGACCAGGGCTTCTTAGAGTAAATGCGTCTTCCTACACACTCGCGTCACTGCAAGGCATATCCATCTTATGGGGGTAGGGTGAAGGCATCACATCGCTTTCGGAGCTTCTTCACTTTGGTTCTGTGCTGATCGGGGGTCGTAGGGCCGTAGGGTTGAGGGTTAGAGTTGAAAGAATGTAACATGTTTGTAGTGCCTGAAACTGGGACAATGGAAAAGAAAATGGAAACTACTATATATAGGGTCTAGCGTTTAGGTTTAGGGTAATATGTTTTAATTGCCTGAAACTAGTGTTAATGCAAACCTTGTTGAACTACAGATGCCCAAGCAATGTTGAATCACTGGCAGAATAATAGTGCAGCGCAGGAATCGAAGCCGGACTGCTTCTATCATAAGCAGTAGAGCAACACAGTCCAGACCTAGCCTCAACCCGTGCTACTTTGTAGGGACCCTAGACTTAGCAGGGGTAGGTTTGAGCATACTTGTTATTTTGGGTTACACGTAATCCCTATACAACCCTTACAAAGCTATAGACATTTGATTTCTATATAGGGCCCCCAGACCTACCCTAGTTGTAGGGACCCTAGAGTTGGGTGATATACAAAGTCCCCTTCCCTGCCCTCCGGCTGTACTTGCTTGAAAGTGGGTTGCCCAACCAAGGAGACTTCTAGAGGGTTTAGTGTTTAGGGTTTATGGTAGACTTCAGCGCCCAGTGTAGCTAATACTTGTATACTTAACCCTGGTCCCTAAACCTGAAACCTTAACCTTCTAGAAATCTTAACACTCTACCCAAAACCCTTGTTGTTCCCTCAAATCCTATTTGTATACTTGGATCCCCATGGTGCCCACTGAAAGGATGATCCGCGAAAGAAAGCTGTACGACAGGCGGGCATACGCCCATCCTGTGGCATACCAACAGCCCAAGGTAGAGGATTTAGGGTTTTAGGGCTTAAGGTTTTAGGGTTTAGGATTTAGGGATTTTGGGTTTGGGGTTTTAGGGTTGAGAGTTTAGAGTTTGAATACAATTTGTAGATTTCCAGCACCAAGGAAGGTTAGGCTTATAGATTTGCATTCCCAGGACATTGCAAGAAGCTTTCCCTGCCCTACTCTGGATCAATGTCAGGGATCCCTTATACTTTTGGGGGTACTTATACTGTTGGGGGGTATGGGATTCATGATTATATCATTACATCTGTACGTAAAAAAAATGCTTTCTCTTCCTAGGGTAATTTGGGTTAAGCACTGTCTCCTGGGGCTGAAGTGATGTTCAGGGCTTAGCGCTAAACAATGGGTTCAACGGCGGTTATTGGGGTGATATAGGGGCATGTAAAGGTATAAAAAATACAATGAAACGACTACATTGTGTAGGGCTTGGTGTACTTTTGGGTACCTGGTACTGTATATGGGGCTCGATGATTTCCCAGAAGGGGATAAGATTGTGTCATGTCTTGGGGGCGAAGTATTTTCAACCCCCCTAAACCTTAATCCCCAAGCCCTAAACCCAGGCCCAAAACCCTAAAGCCTAAATTTTCATGCCCCTGGACAGACTCGAGCCATAGTTTGGAAGCCCTGAAGCTGCCAATATAGGCATCCAAATAGCGCAAGGTAGGTAGTTTCCATAGACTTTGGGGCCAACAGTAGGTATTAGTTACAGACTTGGAGGCGCAGCGTTACTGCAGTATCATATTCCTCAAGACCGTAAGAGATCCGTGCGAATGGGCCCCATCCCAGGATCCGGATGAGGGCTTCGAGCGTAAGGGGCTGAAGTAAGCGCTGGTGTATTTTCGCTGGGCAAGCTACTGAGACCTTACCTGTCCTTAACGTGGTTTAGGGGTTGAGACTGGCCGCAGGAGGTTGTTATGTCAGTTTCGTGGACCGTTCCAATGTTGCCAGCGGAATTGCCACATCAAGGTCAGGGGCTCAGGCAGGGAAAGTATAGCATTATAGCCCCTAATGTATTCCCTAATACTCGTACCCATGAGTTTTGTGGGAAAGATTGGCTGTAGCTTTTATGACCCTCAGGGTGCACACATATTAGGTACTTTTCGGGGCTTCCCTATAATAAGTATCATAGTAGTTTGGGGTCTGTATTGGGGTCGCCTGATTTCTTTATTGAAACCAACGAATAAACCCTACATAGCCTGAACACAACCCTATTTAGAGAGCTTTCATTTCATGCTCCATGCGATTTCTACTTGATTTTCCATTCTCCATGTAGCTCTGAACTGCACGACCTAGATCCTAAACAGTAGTATCCATTTCATGGTCCATTATCTTGTCCACTTGATTCTGCATGAATTATACGGGACAACTTGGCTGTAGCTTATACAGAGACTTAAAGGGAGTAAAATGGGAACCCCAAACAGGGAACCCAAAGAATATGGTAGGAAGATACTAGGAAAACAAGGACCCAGGGTAGGTATTTTGCTAGTAACCTCCCTAGGCCCCAAATCTAGATTGTCGTCCTTTTGGCATTGGGGATTCAGCGATTCAGCGCCCAAGGTTGTGTATATATCTGGGAAGAAAAAGGAAAAGGATACCACGTGTAGTCTCCTTGGCACTGAGCTAGGGCCTTAGACCCCTAACTTTTGGGGTTTCCCTAAATTCCGAATAGAATTACCTAGAAGTTAACTTTTAGTAGGGGTGCTAGGTGTCATGGTGTAGTGTTCAGGGCCTTCAAAGGGATTGCAATGGGATCCCCAAACAGGGAACCCCAAAATTATGGTAGGAATGTAAAAGGAAAATATAGAAGGATCCTGGTATAGTGCGCTAGACTCAAATCCACAACAGCAGGACCTACAGTGAAAAGTGAGACAGGGCCTGATTCACGGCGCACATGCACATTTGAAGCAAGTGTTCCCCGATGGCTGAGGTGTAGGGTTTAGGGTATAGGGCCTAGGCCCCGAACCGTGCACCGTGTTCGCCTGAAGGAATATTGCCGGCAGCCCTTTACTGGATGAGACCTGTCCCACCAACTAAGATGACTAGATTTCTGAGGAACAGGAAGCGCACAACCTTTGGTGAGGTATACAAGACATGTCTACGATAGCTCATTCGCGAGTTTCTCAAAATCATCCCTCATAGTTGCTTTTGAGAGGGGGTTTATGGGTTGTTTGAATGATTTTCGAGATCCTCTTTTGAGAGACCCCTTGACAAGGCAATATACATATGTCTCCTTCAAATTCCACTGGAACCTCATTGTAGCCCTGTCGAAGTAGCTTACGTAACCCGCGAGTAAGCCCATTGTCCCCTAAACTCTAAACCCGTAAGCCCAATCCCAGCCTCCCCTCCACCGTATATGATCTTTTGTCAGCTTTCAAGCTTCCAAATCAGCTTTAGGGTTTGGAGTTTAAGGCTTAGGATTCCCTAAGCGTGAATCCCTGAACCCTAAACCCCAAACCCCGAAACCTAAACCCTAAACCCTGAAAACCTAAACCCTAAACGCCTAAACTAGGGTTTAGGGCGCCGTGCGAGATCCCGCAGCAGGACATGAAGTACTTCGACTCCCATCTGTCAGAAAAGGGCCTTGAACAGGCTACAGGGATGGTGTATAGGGTTTAGGGTTTAGGGTTAAGGGTTTGGGATGGTGTATACGGGGGTTTCCCAAAATTAGGGGTACCTTTAAAGGGGGTTATAGGGGTTATATAGGGATATATAGGGCTTATATGGGGTTTAGGGTTTAGGGTTTGGGTTTCCCAAAATTAGGGGTACCCACTAT